GATATAACCCAACATTCTGTTCGCCTTTTTTATTGCTTCCCCACATTGGCGAGATGTGTACATTTATTTAATGTGTTTTTGACCCAAGTTGTTTCTCTTCCACCTGCTCTGTTATTCTGCCATTTCTTTGATATTTACATTGTCATACTCGGTTAATTCAATATTTACATTTCCATAAACTCTTTCTTGAATATTTACATTTCCATAGTCTGGGAGGTCACAGGATTGCTCAGAATATCTGTTGCTGGTCCCACTCTTCTCCTTAGAAGAATCCTAAGGCGGAAAACAGAAAAGAATAAAGCACAAAACCACATTTACATAGATATACATTTTGATCAAAGCAGTACAGCTTAGACTTGCCATGCAATTGGCATAAATAGCTGACTCAGCCTGTTTTTCTGAATCACTGCGCAGGTCCTTGTCTTCTCTCTGTGAATTCAAATGATTAGAATTCTTCTATAAAACCTGCTGCATCATGTAACCAAGAATTAATCAAAAACGAGGTCATACCTTCTTAGTTCCTTCTTTGATTTTGTCCACATTGAGTGAATTTATCCTATAACAGAGACAAATTAAATATTTAGGTGCACAGTTTAATTTTAAATTTAAAAGAAAGGAATGTAGTGACACAGGTCTTTAAAGACAATACATTACCTTTTCATGAAGATAAAAATCACAACAGCTCCAATTAACACAATCAATAATATTCCCACAACAGTAAATATAATAATTGTATTAAAATGATCTGTAAACAGAGAAAACAAGGAAAACGTTGCTTGACCCAATCAGAATCACAAATGCTAAGCTGTCAGATACACACTGTTTACAGAGCTGACAGTAGTGATGGAGTAACCTTACAGTGTTACTGCCCAGTGTCCTGAACTGACAGTGAGGGATTAATCGTGTTAATAGGATAAACTGATTAACTATAAGGATCCCAATATGTAACATGAATATTACAAATAACGGTCATCTTAAAACAAACAAATGTGTTGTAATGTAAACATGGAGCATAATATGAAAAACACCAATAAAGCAGCAATGTTTTTAATTTTCATATGTAAATGAAATGATATCCTGCTTCATAAAACCCACAATTAATTTATAACAGATATGATTTCAGCTGCTATTCTGCACTGTTGTGTCAATACTTAATTCATCTATTATAAAAATAACATTACATATTATTACAGGCAATATAAAAACATAAAGGCATAATTCCTTTATTAAAGTTTACTTACTTTCAACAATAATATTCACTTCGTTAGATACAGCTACCTTTCTGCCATTTAAAGCACATGAATATTTTCCTGTGTGATGATAGGATATGGGACTGAAGTGAAGTGTGGACTGTGTTTCTGGGAGTGTCTGGTTGTCCTTAAACCAGGTGAATTCTGATTGGTTGAGAGGGCAGCTGTCTGTGCCACATGTCAGATTCACAGAGTCTCCTTCCCTTATTGTTCCATTTGCTCTGGATGAGGTCATCACCACCTTTAGTTCTAAAATTATATAATATGAGAAATAACTGGAAATTTCTATAGGAGTACATAAGGATTTTCTGACACAGGCTGAAAACAATATAGCAAAAAGGAGAAATCCTATCACTAAAAGAAAGCTAAGCATTTTTCTGGAGTACATGTGATACTTTGCTGTGCAGTTAGATTCTCATTGCTGTAATTTGCTTTCTGGTCCATATACTTCTGTTGGTATTCAAATTCTCCTCTTCATTGACAAGCACACCATAAATCATGCAATATTTTAATGTTATTTAGAGCATAATATGTAATTCACATAGAACATATACACTTTGCAAAGATATTGCATTTAGCTTATATTATTCAACAATTAGCTGAAAATTGAGGCAAAGACTCACCATCAACTTGAAGAATCACTCCAGGTCCACCACACTTCTCACACCTGTTTGTTATGAATCTGAATCTATACTCTCCAGCATCCGTCTCTCTAATGTTCTTTATCTGCAATGCACAGTTCCTTGTGTTGTTCCCCATGAATTCTGCTCTGCCTGTGTACTCAGCACTAATGTTTGTATTATTACTGTGACAGACATATGGTTTTCCAGTACAGTCCACATCATTATGACTCCACATCCTGGAGTCGACTTTGTGTGGCTCTGGATATCCATATTCACACTGAATGAGCACAGTCGATCCTCTCACTGCACACAGGTTTCTCTCTGAGTAATGCACATCTATAACATGAATAGATGAATAACATGAATATAACCATGCACCATCTATAATCCACAGAGAACATGAAGTGATGGTTTATTCACCTTGGTTTTGGTAAAGTCTTGACTTTAGAATTATCAGAAAAAAATGTGTGGATTTATGGGAGGTTGATGAGAGGTATCACCCACAAAAAAAGACAAGACAATGAGAATGTATTTTTATTTTATCATGATCAATCTCCACTATGGAAAGCAAAGTAGGAAATCAAAAGTCAATTTGGAAAATGAAAAGACAAAAAGGAGTTTTAATTTAATCTTTTCACAAATTACTAATACATGAGTGGAAAATTAAAATGTAAATCATGTTAGTTTTCATTTTTTGTGTGATTTTTGCATTCAGACTTTGAAAACTAAATGGCAAAATGAAGATTGTGTTTTAATTTTATCGTTATCATTTTCTTTTTTGCAAGAAATACTTCCCATAGTTGTTAAACCAGGTGAATTCTGACTGGCTGAAGGAGTAGCTGTCTGGGCCCCATGTCAAACTTACTCCTTGACTTACTCTTTTACCCCTTTTCATCACCACCTTTAATTCTGAAGGACAACATTTACCTATTGGATTTATAGTAAATCACCCATAATCTTTTCATTTATGTTTGGATATTCACAGAACCACAAAACCTCCAAATGTTTCAGTCATATATGCCAAAATTTTTTATTTGCTATTGCAAATCATACGTTTCTGAGTTATTAGCAAGGGTGAAAGTAAGCCGGTACGCTCCATGAAGACGTACCGTTATAAGATTTACAGCCGGTACGTAGTACTGATAAGTATGGAGGGAAATCCCGGACATTTTTCAAAAGGAATTGCAAATTGCATTTGCAATTGCGTTTTCCATATGTGGACGCATAAAGTGTGACATAATTCAAATGCAATTGCAAATTTTGCATTAACGTTTGCTAGTTAATAGCATGTGTTATTTTTATTATTTCGGTACGTGTGAAATTCTCACTTTAATTAGGTATGTGAAAAGCGCGACCAACATGGCCACCTTTTTTGTTCCAGATTCCTGTTCCACCATCGGGTCATCTGAGTGCTGGGTATACCCCGGAAAATACGCATTCTTATTGTATCGCATTGCGGAATTCCGCGGTATTCCCACTGATAACATAGATGGGGAACCCCTCTTCGTCCTCCGTTTTGAATTTTTCAATTCTGTGTACAGCAAAAATAACGGGACTGAATATTGTAAAGCAGAAATAAGAGGACTGAATGTTACT